TTTAACTGAACTTAAAATTGGCCAACTGATTTTATTTTTAATTTAGAAAGAAAACATTGAATTTAAGAATTAATTTAAAAACTTTCGACGTCTTTTCTTGTTAAAAACTTTTAACTCGTTCATACTTTTGTCGGCTTTCAAACGGCGCTTGATAGATTTCAGAAGGATAAATTCTTCTTTTCGAGATGAAATTTTTAAACGTCTTGAAAGAAAAAAATAAAGGAGCTTATAAAGAAATTAAACAGGCTGCCTCATCTGTTCCCATCTTCAAACTGTATGTTCTAGATCTTCATTAAATTAAATTAAATTTATTCTAAATCCTCTATTTTATTCTGGAAAATTTTTTCTTGAACGTAATTCACATGAATTAAAAAGTTGTTGAATGAATTTTTCAGATAATAAATTAAATTCTAATTCTTTCTTTAATTTTTATTTGGTTTGAATGGACGCACATTTTGCGTTGCTTGCCGGCTTGTGAAAAATCAACAATAAGAGAAGAGTTGAAGCCCATAAGGAGATTGTCGTTCTTATCTTACGGCAACTAAAATATTAAATTCACACACACACACACACACACACACACACACACACACACACACACACACACACACACACACACACACACACACACACACACACACACACACACACACACACACACACACACACACACACACACACACACACACACACACACACACATACACACACACACACACATGTTCTATTTATTTATTATAAAATGGTTTTTTGCAATGGTGCATTAGCAAGCAAGCACGTAAAATGAAGGATGATAATTCAGATGTAATTCGAACGGCCAACTTCATTTTTAAATAAGGCTTTCGTTGACGGGACGCATTCCAACGTTAAATCGAACGTGAAAAATTATTATTTTTTAAATCATTCAGCTCATGTTAAAATATTTTAAATTAAAAATTTAAATGTTTGCTGTCATTTTCATTGCTTTAAAAATAAGTTTTAGGTTCATCCCGTTAGGTTCGAAGTATGTTGATAGATGAACAAGTATAAATTAATCTCAATATTATTGTAGATTTCATTTGATGTTGAAATAAAATTCATCGCTAATCACAAAAATGTAAGTGAACATTGATATAGTTTCTGAAAACATGTTATAGTATATATCACGATAGACTGATGTTTGGTGCGAGTAGACCACGCAGGTACAATCAATAAAGGAGCTTCAAACAAAAAAACAATCCGATGCTTGTTACAAACACCAAGAAATTTACCATCATTCATAAATGTTTATTAAAAGTGCACCAGTAACAAGCTTGAAACTAGTTTATAATTTTATTTGCCTACCCATTTACATTCAAATTTATAATTTTCCATATCATGAAGACTATCAAATCACCAAAGTAGCTTAAGTGCATGGTGTTGTGGGATGAAGTTTTATTTTAGATCATTAAGAATTAGAACCAGCTAACTGCGGATTCAACATCTTCAGACACAACTCTTTTTCTGCTTGAGCTAATGCATCAATTGCATGTTAATCTTAATGATAAGTGCTGCACATAGTTTGATTTCATCTGGTGTATATAAAAGTAATTCAAAATTTATAACGTCAGTGGTTTTGGGAACATTTAAAAAATTTAAAATAAAAATTTTTTGTTTGGAGATGAAATAACTTGAAATGAGATTTGCTTCATAATCCTTCAGACCGTCCAAGTTACAGTTCGTTTATATTTATCAACTCCAACTATCGTCACTTTTTGTAGCCTCATCATTAAAAAATTCCCCACATAAATAAATGAAAGAATGTGTTGACATCACCTTTAGAGAGGTTAATACCTCGAAAGCGATGTTTCCAATTTGACTGATCCGTCGTACGTTCATGCTTCCACTGAATTGATCGTCAATATTTCATGCAAACAAATCGATCGCATTATTTTCGCCCTTCCGTGTAGCTACATTTATTTGAGTGGAAGACATCAGCGTGCCTATCGTTATACTTTGGAGTATGTTTCAACTGAATATCAAACATTTGAGTGCATGCAATGGATTATAAAACATTTGTGTGTGCATTTGTGTCTACATTAAACAAAAGGTAATAATTTTTTATAGTGGGATGAGATCCGTGTGATAAATTCAATTTGTTGATCTGTCTACAATCGAAGCAGTGGGAAGCTATTTAGATGCACTCATTAATAACGCACAAAAATAATAAGAATCGTCACGTACCAAACATGCATCATTACATGCTGGCACTCGACGTTATTATTAATACACCCAGGGGAATATTGTATCTTTATCTAATTCATCTATCTATCTATCTTATATCTATCTAATATCTATCTATGTTTCTATTTACATGCACTGTATTTAATTACACTGAAACATATGTACCTATATTTATGAATATATACATTTATGACTATATCTATAAATGAGTGTTTGTGTGGTTGTTCGTTTGGTCTTTATAGTCTCAAGAGCTATCGAATCATTTGTTTTGAAATTTTCTTTTTCGGGTTAAATGATAGGTGAATTTTTGACGGGAATCAAAGTTAAAATATTGACTTGAAATCAGACCATTAATCCGAAGACATCAAGGTTCCATCAGTAATTTACACACCAATGATAAGGACTAAAACTTTCCGTAACATTTCTTCAACGTCTGCTGTAAAAATTTGAAATAAACTTTTTCCAGATATCCAATCGTACGTAGGTTTTCATCAGTTATGTTGAAAATTTCCAGTTTGATTTCTCAAACGTATACCATTGATATTTGTCGCTTAATTTTTAATTTTGGATGGTGTCTAATACTCTAATTTTATTGTTTTTTTAAATTTGTTGTTTATTTGATAATCCATGTACTTTTATTTTTTTATAGAATCATTCATTTCCATTTCAAATTTATTTTGATTTCAAAAGTTTCACGGAATTCAGGTGTTTAATTGCCATAAATTGAAATGGAATTATTTGGCAACGTGAAAGCTTCGACAAGGTTTTTGTTAACAGATAGCTACATTCACTAAGGAAATAATTAGAAACCTTTAAGTACATGAAAAAGTTCAATGGATGGAAAGTCATAAAAGTGGTTCAATTGATTTCATGGAGCACTCTTGCGAATGAATAGAGCGAAAGCATGCCAGCAGGTTTGTATTTATGCTTCTGCATAATTGCATGTGTAGTTGTGCAAGTTTGCTTGCGGTTGCCAACTAAACTCGTTTCTCTAAAAACTATAAACTGAGATCAAATACGCAAGTTAGTACATTGAAAGTAATTACATGCATTTAAAGTTCATTTTCCAGAATTTGTTTTGGTGGATTGTGTGAAGTTTTCGATGAGAAACAATGGTTTAAAGATTTTGGCTGGTAAAATATTTGTTTCTTACAATGGATTGAGATAATAAAATTTTTCCGCCCTTTTGGGGTAATCGTGCTGAGATAAATTAGGAAGATAATGATGAATTTTGTTGTTTGTTGTTGTTGTTTGTTGATCTACAATATTGATGATAGTTATTCATTTTGTTGTTTATCTTTTGGCAGATTGAACTTTTCGCTTAGTGGCATGTGGTGGTAACGTCACAATCATGAACCATAACGGGGCATCAAACTATCAATTGACGACTTCTCATCTATCATATGTGGCTGGCCATATTTTAAAGAAGCATTGCATAAGCTGCTGTTCATTAAGTCTTGCGAATAAGCTACAAATTTCGAATCGTGGATTTGTAATGGTAATTAATTATATTTTCCCTTGTTTATTTTCCCAGGTATCAGCGGGAGACAGCCACACAGTAAAAGCGAGGACGTTAGAATCCACGCATTATGAAGACTGCACGTGCAGTCGAACTCAGTCGCTACAGAGCAAGACCATAAATAATTACATAAATGAACAAAAATAAACAAACACTGATAAATAACAAAAAAGATTTTAAATATTATTAATTTGTAAGCGATAAAGATGAAAAAAACTCTCAATGCAAACATTGAATTGGTATTCAACACTTTAAACGCACATTCACGTGAAACCATTGTCGCTATTGTTACCTGTTCTAATTAGTTGTGAAATTGTTGTTATTGTTGTTGTTGACGATGTTGTTGTTGACGATGTTGTTGTTGGCGATGTTGTTGTTGATGTTGTTGTTGTTGTATAGTTGTTGTGTTGATGTTTCTGAGGAGAATGTGGAAGATGACAGAGACAACAATGATGATTAAATGAAAATCAAAATAAGGATTAATGATAACAAAGATAATGACGGTAAAAATAACAATGAAAGATGCCGATATGCTGGATGACGATGATGAAGTTGGAAATGGTTTTAACTCACCGATTTCTTGCGGGCGAATTCAGCGTACATCGATTCAACATGGGAATAATGTTGAAAAAAGGTTTAGAAAGAATGTTGATGATAATATGATATGTTCAATGATGATTGAGATTTTTTTATTGTATATTTGAAAATTTTTTTTTAATGTTAGAGTGAACATTTTGTTAGTTTCACATCAGCATTATTAGCAGCTCTTCATAGGTTTGGATTTATTCAAGTAGCACACGCAAATGAAGTAAGTAGATTGCACGAAAGTTATGTTAGTTGGACTATCCAATCCAAGCAACGAATCCATTGTGGTTATATTTTTGTAAAACGCGGTCATTTCTTTCTTCCAAAATATGTAAATCATTTCATTGGACACGCAATTTTGTTTGCTGTGTCACATTGTGAC